AACAGTCAAAGCTAACATTTATATGCCAATATTTCTGAGATAAAGTACTGTAAATGTTTACACTATTTACATATTCACGACGTTTCGGCCGTTGCACACCGCGACTTTCTTCAGGTGATATACGTTGAAATTTAGAACCTCATTCACAGGGGTAGATTGTTCTAGTTCCACGTGCCATGGGCTTTTTTTTTTTTTTTTTTTTTTTTGATATCTCAGTTCCAGTTAATTCCTTTAACTCTTTGGGTCAAGTCACTTTTTTTGGATTACTTCAACAAACGCTTTTCATCCAGTGGACCATGTGCCCTTGGGGGCATCACCTGAAGAAGGCCGAGGCGTACATCGGCCGAAACATCGTGAATATAGCAATAAAGATAAGGACAGCAGTCCGAACGATGTAAATAGTGTAAACAGTCTAATCTAAGTTGCCAATGAAGCACACTTGCTCATTATATGAGTGAAGATGTCGATTTCCACATAATCTGCATTTGCTATTTCCTTCCATTGGTTTTAATATATCTGTTTCTTATATAATAATGATTATGAATCTGACGAACGATGACTTACATGTTATTAACATAAAGCATACACAAAATACAAAACGGGGGTGAAATTGTACAACAGGTAATGCGACCAGAAATAATCGTTTTTTTATCATTTTAATTTTTTATTTTAATTTTATTAAAAAATTAATAGGGGTTTCAGGTTGCTATGTAAATTAATTGTAAATTGATCTCCCTACGAAAGCCAAAACAAAATATGCTCATACCACGTGATTTCTTAAAATGTAAAAAAAATATAAAGGCTTTGAAATTCGTTATCTGGAATGCTTAATCGATAATAATATAGGAAAAATAATTTCAGATTACGAACTTAATTTTTTATTGTTTTGTTTTTACATTTTGCGAAATCGCGAGCTATGAGTATATTTTGTTTTGACTTCCGTAGGGGGACAAATTAGAATTAATTTACATCGCGAATTAGAACATCTATTAACTTTCATAAAATTTAATAATTGTTTTTTGTTTTGTTTTTTAATTTTTTCGTATTTGCGATCTAAAGCGCTTAATCTACAATAATACGAAATACAATTTAAAAATTGTTTCATCGGAGATGTTCTGTCATTCCTCTTGACAGTAAACTTTCTTGCAAGTTGTTAGGTTTAAGTTATACATCCGAGTCTTCAACCCTCTCTAAATAGGTTCGATCATGTTGATGTCAGGACTTTGTGCAGAACAATCATTTAACATTAAGTGGATATTGGGCATCAAACTCACACCCGACCTCAAGTGAAATTTCTATAAACGATCCAGATCCATCGCTACAGATGCAGGTAAAATGATCGGTTCCCTGTACCGCTCCAATAAGTACATAACTCCTCATATTATGCACTATCTTTTATAAGAGCCAGATCAGGCTGAAAATGGAGTACTGTTACTATATTTGGGCAAGAGCTACCCGGACTTCACTTTCCTGTATTGATAGAATTCAAAAGCGTTTCCGAGTCCTTGTTAGAGAACGATTATTTTCCACCCTCCAAACTCTCTCTCACTGTCAGGATGTGGCGAGAATCTCACTACTCTATCGCTACTGCCATAGAAAGTGCTCGAACGAACTGCATCTCCTGGTTCCACTAGGATTATCTTCACAACTAGGACACGCTATGGCACTTACATAGTAACAAACCACCCTCATTCCCTCCGTATTCCATCAGTGAGAAGCAAGTTTCACTCAAACAGTTTCTTCCCGCGAACTACTGCCCTATGGAACAGACTCCCAAGAGGATGTTTCCCCAATCACTACACTTAATCTGTTCAAGTCTAGAACCGTTATCTTCCCCTTCTATCTACATAAACTACCCCTTAATGTAACCCTCTACTTCGAGTGCCCCCCCGGGCCTTGTACAAGTTGAACTTTACTGTAAAAACTACTAAAAAAAATACTGTAATCATTAGTGAAAAACTTTGTTACCCGCGGTCCACGACAAGCCGATTCATTCTGTTGGAATATTTCACATTCTGCTTATCTGGTCAAAGGTGGAATTTAATATATTATTATATATAATTAATATATTTTTCGATGTCGAATGTCCCATCAGTTTTTATAAACTTAAAATCCAAGCACCAAATTTTATTGTCTTTGTGGTGCATTTTGAATTCTTTCTTGTACCAATTTGAGTAAATTTGCAGACCATGCCCCAGAAGCCACTTGTAATGAAAATTTCCATTCTGGTGTAAAATCGCGTATTTATTTCGAAAATAACAATAAAAGTTTACGGAAATGTACGGTTTAGTAGATATTGAGAATCATATTTCGGCCTTATTCATGTCTCGTCCGGCTGCCATTACTAGCGTTGTTTACATACATTTGCGCGGAAGCTTATTAACAGACTTTTTACTGATCTTCTTATCCGTCTCGATTACTGCGCAATTCGCGAAATTTATGCGCAGGCTTTGCTTAATGCACGAATTTTAAAAATAACCCAAGAGGAAAACGAGATGAACCCGGGATAAAAATAAAATTGGGAATACCATCGTAAAAGATAGCCTTTCCGCAATTGTTATTGCTGTTTTTTTGTTTTGTTTTGTTTTGTTTTTTTTTTGGTTTTTTTGTTTTTTTTGGGTTTTTTTTTTGTTTTTTTTGTTTTTTTTTTAAATAACCGTGCTTTTAAAAACCCTAAATTTAATAAAAACAAAGTTTGTGTCGTAAAAATGTTTCTTATTATTAAGACCTTTCTAGCACTTTTTTTGTTGTTGTTGATAACTGCATCATTTCCTAAAAAAGAAATTTTTTTTTTGTTTTTATTTTGTAATTTCAATTTTTTTTAGCTTGTAATTTTTATTTTTATTTAAGTTTTTTCTTTCTATATTTCGAATAGTGAGGCTTTTCTTGTTGGGTTTCTTTTAAAATTTCGCGCATTCATTTTAATTTTTATTTAATTTCGAGCATTGGGTTCACAGTGAGGCTTCTGCGCATGATTACTCGTATGATTACATGATTTACTTGTATGTAAACAAATCCAGTAATGGCAGCCGGGCTGTAGCCCCGACGCGAAAAAGCCCGAACTTATATTGTCGATAACTCCTAAAGGGTACATTTCCTCAAATTTTTATTGTTTTTTTTTTTTTTTTTTTTTTTTTCAAAATAAACATGTAATTTACACCAGAATGGAAATTATCTTTACAATTGGTTTCCGGGGCTTAATCTGCAAGTTTACCCCAATTTCTTTTTGGACATACTCTCTTACACTAGAAGTTAGTTTTATTTAGCCATCGTCAATATATTTCATTTTTGCCCATTTTTAATTATCCTATAGATGTTCTTTTGCGCAATGTTTTCGTCTTATTCGATGATTTTGTGTAAGTGTGTGCGCGCGCGCCACTGATGTCATTTTTTTTTTACTGTAATGTATCCAATAAGATTGTTAATGAGTAGTATCCACTTTACATTTGATAACAAACTGTTCCCTCCGACATCCAGTGTAAAATATATATCATCGTTCCTTGTCATGATAGAGGGCTTACTTGTCCCAGTAATCCCAAGAGCGAAGCCGCCTGGAGTTCCGACTCATGTAGGGGCCACTCAAGTCGAAGAGGAAGGACCAGATTAAGCTTGACCAGACCCCAAAGACCCCAACGGCAGATTAGGCAAATATCTACATGATCTCAATCGACAAACCGACGAAACAGGGCAGTGCCAATCGGGTTGGGGTAACCAAGGCGAACCTTGACAGGCCAAGCATCTGACAGCCCGATGCAACTTGGTTTACCAGATCACGCCTGTCTCGATCCCCTTTTAGAAGCAAGGGAAGCGCTTCTGGCCAAGTGTGTGGGCTTCTCTGTCACGCAGGGTTGTCCCTCAAAATCAAATTCACGGGAATGGCCTTGTCAAACTCTCTTCGCTTCACACTCATCTTCGTCACCGCCGCCAAGGGAAAGAAAAGAGAGAGGTGACGATCCCGATGCTCGGATGCGAGTGGGTGCCGACGACAACAACAACCTCCTTACGATATTAGTTACTGCTACTTTTTTTCTCATTACATGACTAGCAATTAATTCTAACTGGATACTGATAACCTCACTAGATTTCTGTTATCTTTGTTACTTAATTTCTTCTTCATGTCCTAAATATCCCCAACATTAGAATCCTTCTCCTGAATAATTGGAACGGTATTCCAAGCTCCTTAGCGATATCCCGTTGACTCATTCTTTGTGACATTTCGATAACGCTTATCTTCTTCTCCAAACTCACTCTTCTTATTTTGAAATTTAAATCAATTTCACTAAAAAAAAAAGAAAACAATTTGAAGGCTCCAGATTTTATACAATCTTTGCTTGATCATTTAACATGAGAAATTTGATGGTATCCTAATCTGGGATGACGTTAATCGTGAGTGGTGTCAAATGACTGATAACTTTTGCATGCCTTATTTTTCAATATCACGACGAGTTCAGGTCTGTGTCTTCCTTTGTATTGTGTTTCCGTGAATACATCATCTTGCATTACAATCATGAATGACCACAGATACGTCTCTTGGAGGGATATTATCGAATACTTACAGTTTCTTTGAAAAAATTAAGCCAACTAATTTTTCTTACCTAAGTGCTTATTTTTATTTTCTTTTTCTTTTCTTTTTTTTTTTTTTTCGCTACTGTACTTTAATGTTTCAACTTGTGGAAGACAAATCAATCAGCTTCCGGAATAACCTTAACTACAATATTACCGACAAATTTGAGTGCGATTGCAAGTTAAAAATCCTTGGAAGAGAACAACAATTAATAGTTATCCCATCTTTGGTATTATGTTAAATGTTTCATAACGCTGATAAATGAAAAGACTTAAAAGAAAATGTTTATTTAACATAGATTTCGAAAGTCAATCCTCTATGTTGTTCCGCCATTTTTAGATAGCAAAAAGAAGTTAGCAGTAAATTTTACTATACAATTAATCTCGAATTAAAGAAAAATTGACGTTTAGAAAGTTGGCGTAACATTGATTTAGGCTTACGGCCATATCACGTAGTAATACCGGTTCCCATACGATCAACAAATTTAAGCAATGTCGAGCCTGGCCAGTACGTAGATGGGTAACCGCTTGGGAATATCAGGTGCCGTAAGCTTGGATGTGTGGGTGGTGTAATGGGTAATGGCTTGGAATTTGTTAATTTAAATTGGGTTCGTTATATTCACTTACACGCAAACACCTTTGTATTCACATCTGCTCCCTCTAGTTATGGGTTAATTAATAAAACTTGTATGACTAAATCATTACTATTTCAAAAAAAATCTTACAGTCTAAAAATATTTACTGGCCTTAAATAACCTGTAAAGGGTTGATAAACCATAAAAACGAATCAATCAAATCATTATTTATTTATATTGCTGCTTCTAATGAGAACCCGTGAGTGCGTGATACAAGTAACAATACCAGGCTGCCTCAGTGATTAACTTGAATACTCAAAAACCTTAATGTCATATATTGTTTGCGTTTAGCAACACTACAAATCTGTTTCTTATGACTATTTAGGTATTTACGAAGCTAAACTTACTGACACAAGGCCACAGTTGTGGAGCGGCCATTTTTTGTTTTTTTGTTGTTGTTGTTTTTTCTACATTCACCACGGTCTCATATTTATCATGTCTCATGATCGGGTGTGGTCAGAATATCTCTGCGAAACTGAGCATCTAACCAGTCCTATCTAAAAGCTGGAGAGGTATTCATTCGAGTGTAGCGTATCCTGGGCAAAGTAGATTTGGCTGAGCCAATCCCTTTACAGATCAAACCACAGTCAGTGCCCTTCAACTTGAAGGCTCGCCTTGGTTGATTCCACCGGTGGAACTGTCCGCCCTCTGCACTGATGCCGTGTCATCATCGCACCGGCTGCATAGATTGTGATGGAGCCCAATTTACCTCATTTGCCGTTAATCATACAAGAAGGTTCACCCCCACCCCTTTGACAGTTGTTTTTAATCCTAGCCACCTACTTCACCAGAAAAAAAAAACCTGGTTGGAGAAATGGTTTAGTCACCGATGACCCAATCATGCAGGTGGTATTGGCTTATCTGGTACCATTAGCAGTGGTAGAGTTGATCAAAGTATGTAGCTTTGGTAGTCATTGAAGTAATGAAACAAGACGTGATAGGGGGTTTATCTATCGAGAGTTCTGTTGTTTCATTGTATACTGTAGTCCATATCTATAATCAGGAAGTAAATCCTCCAATTACGACAATTAAACAGTTCGTTGAGATATTTCGTGACTAACTTAGTATATAAGTTTGAATAATAATGTAAAATGTCTTTTTATACATGAAATGCCAAAAGTATATCATAATTTAAGCGTTTGAGAAAAGCGGTAGTCCAACGTTCTAATTCCAGTTTTATGCGTATGAGACTAAAAGGCGCTACAACATAATAAAAAAAGCTTGTGCTAAATCAAATATTACCTTTTAAAGATTCCCGTTTCTTTTGGGCTTTTTATCCTTTCATAAATGAACATTTTTTTTTTATATATTTTATTCTGCTATCAACATTTCATTTTTGTGATTATACAGTTTAATTTTATTTATTGGTGGTTGAGGAGGTCGTTTGTACTTATTTTTGTCAATGAAGCCTATAGACTTTTTTGCATCTATAACTTATATAAAAGTTTTAGAAGTTAATGCTTCGGGAAAAACAGAAAATATTCTAGATTTGTATCAGAATATCACTTGCTTATCGAGATTAAAACTGCGTTCATTGAAGGTACAAAATTCAAATGATAAAATCTTTATGATGCATTCACCCAAGAAACCCAATTTGGGAAAAAGTAACTCTTCTTTCATGTAGACATTTTTGTATTATTAAAATCGACTTTACGAAAGTTATACTTTTACGCGATATTGTAGGTATCTTGTAGAGATTTTCTTTTATTAATGGCTGAGGTTCGTTATTTCGCGGATGATGGAATTCTATGCATTCATTTATATGACGGAGGAATGTATATGCATAAAAGGTTTTACATTGTCGCCATGTTTGATGTTAAGATGCGTGCGAGTAAGTTACGTTAGGATTCATATATTGAATTATTTAATTATAAGTCCAACTTATGAACATGTATAACTTTCATATATATTCGCGCATGCACACCCCTTTATTTCTCTATCTATACCTATATATATATATATATATATATATATATATATATATATATCCGTCCATGTCTATTTATATGTATGTATGTCTGTCCGTCCATGTCTAGTTATATGCATGTCTGTCCACGTATGCACTTCGTCCGTATCACTGTCCGTTTCGCTGTCTATCCATGTCTCTGTTTATCTGTCCATGTCTGCCTGTATATATCTGTCTCTATATTCGTCTGTGTCGCGAACGCGCGTCGGTACACACACAAATGAGGCCCCGGATCGCGTGCAGATATATCCGCCATGACCACCTACATCCGGGTTTTCTTCGCTAGCAGCGGTACAGCTTGGCATGTCTAAATATGGGCCTCTCTGCAACCGGTCAAGATCCGGGTCTTTGTAAGACGCCTCATGCCGATAAAAGCAACGGGAAAACTAGCAGTCAACAAAACTCGATGTATTGTGAAGTCGGTCTCGTGGGCATTTTGTACCTAAAGTTGGGGTGGTTCTCGAGGCAGTGTTATTTTTATTACCCCTCCCGCGTCTCTTTCCCCTCTGCTTATTACACCCCCCCCGCCTAGTTACTAGGAGAACAATCGGTTAGGCGTTTCCGCCCAATCTCAACACACTCTTGCCGTACATTACAACTGCCTGTATATCTGTCTGTCCCTGTCTAAATCTGTCTTAAAATATCTATATCTATATCTGTCTGTCTGTCTGTCCATATTTATATCTGCCTACATCTGTTCGTCTGCATCTATATCTAAAACCTACAACATAACCTTTATATGCACTCGAATCGACTCTACTGAATACGCTAAAATTTGCAGTCACCTCGAGTAAATAGAAAACGATCGTCGCTATTAATTGGATTAGATGCTTTATTTATTAGTAAAATCTCCATGTTTACACGGATCGATTGCTCACAACACCCAACAGAAACTATTTTTTTTTTCAATATGCACATTTCCATATTAGATATCTCTCTATTACGGCCTTGAGCCAGACTAAACAAAACTTCAAAACTAGTGACTTGCAGATGCATACATGCATTATCGGTGACGTTTATTTTGTTTGAAAGAAACATTTGTAGGTCTTTACTTGGCAAAGTAGTAGTTTTTTACTTGTACGATATTCTATTTATCGACCTCTTTATTTATAATGCATACACATAGTCAGACGTACTATCGTCCATGTACGCACAAATACCATCTGTGGCCATGTAATCCAGTTGTAAAGCAAAACAAACGCTGACAGTTTCTCCTGCTTCAAGTCCAGCCTGAGTCAGCTTATCACGTGGGCGCTTTTTTTGCTATTTTTTTTTTTTTTTTTTTTTTTGTAATCTCGATCCCATTTTGTTTTTTGTTTAATTTATCGATTTTTTTCTTTCTTTCTTTTTCATTCTCCACACCAATAATTCTGAAAATTTCTCACCCTTTTTCTTTTTCTACTGTTTTGTTTATTCTTCTTCTCTCTGTCTTTTTCGTCCTTCCCCCTTTTGTCCGTCTTTTTTCTTCCTCTCTTTTCCTCCGACATTTTTTTCTTCCTCTCTTTTCCTCTCACCTTCAATACTTACAAGTTATTCTCTCTCTCTCTCTCTCTCTCTCTCTCTCTCTTGTATTTATTCTCCTTCCTTTTTCTCTTACCCAAAACCTTTCCCCGTCTCGCGTTAACTTTTTTTTTCTCTTTCTCGCTGACGAAATTGCCCCTCTCTCTTCTTTTATAGATTACTCTTTTTATCCTCTTTACTTTTAACCTCCATTTTTCTCAGATACATCGGTCCCTAAACACTTGTTTTATCGATCTTATTTCTAGGACAATACATTTTTCTTATCTTTATATTAGTTTCCGACTCTAATGACCAGCTTCCCTTTTTCCTGATATGGCGGGTAACTTGAAGGGAAATCTAACTGCAGCCTTGATAGTCCAAAGTCGTTTACTCGGCCATGCGAATGATGACATATTTTCTACCCTGCAGCCCCTTTCCCCATAGTCTCTATGTCGCAAGCCTGTGACTAGTCAATTGCTATTTCCATGAGAAATGGTAAGACAATCTCCATTATTTAATACCACCAATTCAGACAGCTAAGACCCACCATACTACTTCCACAGACTCTAACTATCCTCATTCACCCCGTATCCCAATTGTAATGAAGAAATTTCACTCGGACAACTTTTCTCCCAAGAACCAATGCTTTGTGGAACAGACTCCCGCTTGGATGGTTCTACGAACGATACAATCTTAACCTCTCTAAGTCAAGGGTTAATCGTTACCTGTCCTCCATATCCGCATAATCCCCATAATACTATTTCCGCATTCATATCACACACCTCATTCAGTAACCCTCTAGCTTGAGTCACATTATTTAATATTAGCTTAAAAGCCGCACCCTGTACGGACTTTTAAGCTTGCTCCTGCAGAGGGGGCTAATTGGGCCTCCTGTCCAAAACTCCATGGACCTCTGGTCCAGTTTAGGAAACAGCTATGATAATTTAAAAAAAAAAAAAATTCCACAATTCACTTCATGAAACTTCAAACTGTGATTCGGGCTTTAAGTCCAATTCCGACCAAAAAACCGATTTCGCCCGTAATTCTAATTCAGACCAAAAATTGATTCCTTCAAATGACAAACTCCGTGGGATTTCAATAGTGTTGAGTTCTTCAAATCACAAACTCTGCGGAACTTCAAAACGTTACATGAAACTTCCCACATTAACTTTGATTCCTTCGCATTTTAAGAAATAAAATTGAATTCTTCAGTTCACAAGGTTTTGGAGATATTTTAAACTCAATTTAAAAAATTCACAAAGTCTTGTTTTACTTTAAACTTAATATAAATTAAAAACTTTTAAAAATCAATAATTTCTTTCAGTTATTTTAAAATTTAAATTTTTAACTCTTCCCTCACCCGGGCATAAATCCGAATGCTAGATGTTCAAGCATCAGATAAAGGGAAGATCTTTAATCCCGAGTTTATATCCTGATTCCAAAAAGGTAT